CGGGTCAGGCTACTGCTGAAATTTCCCTGTTAAACTTATGGCAGGAATGGCACTATGACTATGGAATCCTCACTGTTTTAACAGCACCATTGTTCCTGAGAGCCTCTGATGACGAAAATAGTTTGGTCAACCTGGAATGTCATCCTCCTGATGGCCACACACACTCGCAGTTATGCAATGGAAGGAAGATATTCTCTGTTAGATACTCTCCTGAGAACTTCATTGTTCAGGTTGGAGAGGCAGCAGACATCTTGTCCCAAGGGAAATTGAAATCTACACTTCATGCTGTGAGTAGACCTTTGAGTTCCACAGACATCAGCCGGGAGACTTTTGTTGTCTTCCTACAGCCCTCATGGGACAAAACTTTAGCTTATCTTGGTTATTCTTTAGATGAAGGTGAATCCATTCTTAGCAAGGGGACTTCGGCCGTCAGTGATGGATCAACAGGGCCTTGTGATGAAGATGCATTTATGCAAGGAATTCTGAAAAAAAATTCCCCCTCTGTTATCAAGGCTAAAAGAAGGGATGACATTTGCAGAATTTTCTCGTCAGACAACAAAACAGTATTATGGTGGCAGTGGCGTCCAACAGAACAATTGAGCACTAGCAATGCAATGCAGTTGTAACACACATTGAACTGATGTGTTGACTTGCATTTCAATACCAATATGAATCATAAAAATGAAAGCGTCCTGGTAAACAATGCATACCACTCATCCTACTCGATGACTAAGTTTTGCAATTGTTCACATAACAATTATGCGTTTTAACTGACATTGGCAACATATCCAAGGACGGGTCCAGAATTTCTGCTAGACCTTAACCGGCCAATTGAAGAAATGTCAATGAAATGAAGGCAATCTTTTCTGTCAGTGCTCAGTTAAGGCCAGAAGTTAATAGTGTGTACTCCTAAAAGTTAATGTCCCGTGGCTTTGTGAGTTGACAAGGCTGCAATACCTGCAGTTTGTGTGTGTGCCCTAGCCCTTTTGGCAGAATATCTGGCAGTGGTTAGGAAATAGTCTGAACATTGCTACTGAGAACCTTCACCCCATCAGTCCTGATGATTCGTTATTTCCAAATCTAACTGTAGCCTCTTTTATTTCATTACAATTTTCATTAGTAGAATATTGATTGGACTGTAAGAATATTCAATCCCATTCTGTTGGCTAACAGGGTTTCACACATGGAAGTCTCCTTAACTTTGCATTTTTAATTCAGATAATCTTTCCCATTCATGCTGGCTATTCAATCATTATCCCTCTGTTTTTTTTAGAAATGCAAATTTTCAAAAATGCAAGCAGAGTATTTGTTTGCAATTTTGTTGTATTACGCTGGTGTCATAAATGAGAACTTTTCTGGACTGGTTTCTTTAACTCTGGTGCTAAATGGTTACATCTTTTTCATTATCAAATAATATGCCCATATTTGTTTTTTAAACCATTGTTTAAATTATTGAAATTTTTGTGAGGGCAGTTTGAACTAGGGGTGTATATTATACTGTAGCCTCTGTTCATGCCTGAGTTTGTTGCTTTGAGTTTTTTAGTGTGAAATTTGATGGTTCTTTGTGCACTAAGAAGAAAAAAGCACTAGGAAAAATAAAAGATAAACAGGTTGCTTGTATATTACCTGTATGATGCTTAATCGACTATTCCATTTCATGTTTAATGCTTTCTTGCACTTCCTTGGTTGACTGAGAGATGTGACTCACTAATGGCAATCTTTCGTGTTAGCGTGTTTACGGGTTATCTATGTAAATCTATAAAAATTAAACCTATATATATGCTGATTCAACCTGCCTTACATCCCTACAAGGATTTTAGGGGTAATGATGAAACCAATCGCCTAAACATTGTTACTATGGACGTGCTTGAGGAGCTAGCAGACACAAATACAGTGCGGTCTGTACTGAGGTATTTGATTTGGTTGCTCTTTTCGCATAAGATGGATGGTACTGTTTCAAAAAAAAAGGATGGTACTTCCTGTATATATTTGTGTCTGCTACCTCCCAGTGGAGGGACTAGGATTTTAAACTCGGGTATTCAAAATTGTGATGAGATATTAATTTTTTTTTTACAATCTAAAACCCATTGGTGGAAGCAGTTGCAGCCCTAGAATTCTGTAGGGTATGCAACACTAAAATTTTCATACACAAGTCGGTAAAATCTGTTTAGCAATTCAGTAGGCAATGGTAAAATTTGTTTTGCAATTTGGTATTTTTAAACCAGTACTCTATACCCAAGTGTGTGCTTCTGCATGAACAAAGCATGATGCCGACCAGTAGCACCCCCGCGGCACCACGGTCCCAGGCAGAGGTACTGCGCTTGCGCTCTGCCGAAGGTCGCTTGCCAGTTGCGCCACTGCGCACGGCAGCCAGCGCCGACGCTTCTTCGCCGCCGCCGGAGTCCGCTGCTCCACCGTCGCCACCAGTGCGGCTGGGGAAGAACACGGCAGAATGAAGGAGTGAACTGTGAACACTACACGAGCGAACCATGTGCCGATGTCTCTCTTAACTTTGCGGTGGGCCCGTATGCTGCCTGGCGTGGGACATGGGAGAAGTTGGGCCACAGGCCGCTGGGCCTTGTTGGGCCATCGAGTGGGGAGGAAGGAAATCTGCAGAAGGAACCGCAGAAGAATGCGTGTATTTGGACTGAATTCTTACTAGATATTCGTTTGGCTTTATTTTCTTTTTTTTTTCTAATACACATACATATCTATATATCTAGTATATCTACTATATCTATATCTATATCTATATCTATATCTATATCTATATCTATATCTATATTTATATCTATATCTATATCTATATCTATATCTATCTATTATTGTAATATTAGAGAGGCAAAATTTCTCCCCTCTCATTTTTTCGCGACACTGGACGTCCGATGGACACACATGGCTGCAATTCGTTTCCGCGCCTCCGTTTAGCATGGGGCCTGCATCGCTCATACGTCGCCCTCCCGTGCCTGCGTTTCACGCGCCCACATGGGGGCCCTCGCCACGCTCACCCGAGGACCACTCGCACCCCCTCTCGCTTCCCATGCGCATCTCTGTGCAACACCTGATATACTTTTCAAATATCCATATGCAATATTTGAAACATACAACAGAAGACAGATGCGACACTTGAAACATGCGTCAGAAACACTTGCAAAAACACGTGAAAAACACTTGAAAACCATTGTGACACATTCGCAACATCCAGATAAAACATTTACAACATATGTGTAAAACATATGCAACATCTAGATAGAACGCACTTGCAACATACGTTTGAAAAATAGAGAAACATTGGAAACAGAAGCTTGCAACATACATGTACAAAACCATTGAAACATATGAAACATCTCAATCTATTTTTGTAACATCCGTATGAAACACTTATAACGTACGTCTGAAAACATCTGAAACATCTAGAACATACATTTGCAAAACACGTGTTTTCAGCGCAACGGGCGGCGCGGCGAACTGACGCGGTGGAAGTGGCCGTGACAGCTGATGGCGGCACCCGACGCGGTGGAGGCGGCCGCGGCAGTCAGATGGAGGCGCCCTGCCATGGTGGAGCCGGCCGCGGTAGGCCTACCTAGGCGCTGCGGCTCGGGGACAGTAGTGATGAGGGACATGAGGCCAGCGTGGACGAAGAACTTGGCGATAAAGACAGTGGCGTGGCCTTGCGCGTTGGCGCCGTCGATCCGCTACAGTAGGCGAGGGCGCATGGCGCAGGCAGGAGCGAGCAGCGCGTCCGGAGTGCATTGTCTGTGTGGATAGTTTGATGTGTCCAGATGGGAACAGTGCATCCGAACGCCCTAAACAAAGCATTACCGTATTTTCGCCCACCTCCTTCTAACTACTCGGACAATAGAGAGTTCGTCTCTGTATTGACCTAGACTCATGATCCATATTCATATGAGCTTCAACAACTCGCACCTAGCGATTATAAATACGGAGTCTGATTCTATATGTATTAGGGTCTCATTGCAACGTATGCGCACGTAATACGCTTGCTATCATACTCAAAGTTTCTTGCAATTTTTTGGGTATTCCCTGGGCCTGTCCCTGCTACCACCTCACATCGCACGTGCCATTATTGCTAAAGGTTGATTTTTTTTTAAAATTGGTTTTAACCAAAATATGCTATTGTAAATGTTCTACTATAGAAATTTACTTGTGAAAACGTACATTCATGTCTTCTAGCTTTTAGTATAGAAGAAAACAAAATGTGGATTCGATCAATGGCAATTGTTCCGGGGATGGTTAGAGTCTTATCTTAATATTACTAATTAGAGGCTTCAATGGAGACTCTACGTTAATTCTCACCAGACGTGTTAGGAAAAAAGATAAATCCTTAAAATTCTCACAATAATTAGAAAGATCTAGCCATCAATTTGATGGACTCTAATCACTATTAATATTAATAGCTGTTAGATCTATTATGTTTTTCTAAAAAAATTACCCATAGTGCCATTACGAAATACCCCAAAATAACCCCCTAAACATATATGCTAATTACCCACCTTTGCCATTATATAAAACATAACATTGTTAATAATAATAATAATAATAATAATAATAATAATAATGATGATGATGATGATGATGATAAAAACCCACGCACGTCTAATAACAGATCTAATTGAAAAGAAAAACACCAATATATTTTTCCTCCCATCCTCTCTATCGTGGTATACTGGTATTAGCAAAGCCCCGCCGCCCCTATAGTTACCGAGTTTCGACCAGCAAAAGTAGATTGACCTTTTCCATCCTGCTACGCGCAACGACTTTCCTCCCCAGTCATGTCGTGCCGCGGTTCAATTGTTGGCAGCCCCGGCGGCAATTGAGCATATGTGTGTTCTCTGGTGTCCTTTAATTCGTTGCCTATCTCCTATTTGAGCCCGGCGGCGTACATCGGCAGGAGCAGCATGCATGCATGCCAGATTTAGCATGCACGCATATGGTGCTGGGACACAGGTGCCCGTGATAGATGGAAAACCGGCGTCCTTTTGCACATGTAAATGTGTAAAACGCAGTGAATGAAGGATTTAGACATACGCAGTGCAACTGTGCAAGAGGGGCAGCGATGCATGTCGGGCTAGGTCTGCACTTTGGCAGACGAGGGAGATCGAGCACCGGTTGTGCATTTCAACAAGCAGCAAAGAAGGGTTACATGTGCAAAAGATATATGCTGCTGCGTGATGGAGCTCACCGCTGGCCCTAGAAGATCAATGACAATTTCAGCCTGTCCACCGCACGATCCGTACAATTCCTCCAGGTCAGTGTTCGAGTCAGCATGCAAAAGTCTCTTTTGACAAAACCAATTGATATAAACTTTAGCTATGATGTGACTATGTATGTAAATAAAAGATAAAGTGTCCGGCCGGTTCAGCTACATCTAGCAAAGACAAAGTCATCACTAATAACATTTAGTTACATATGCCATCATGCATTATATCCAGCTGATGATCTAAGGCAAATATTCCCCACATGAGCATGCATGATACACAAAATAGATCAACGTCGTCATTGTTAAGTGCCACTGTATTTCTTAAACAACAAAATTGTAGTTTAGGAAATATGGTATGCTAACCAAGTGTTTATACTATAACTATAACAATGTAGTAGATTAATT